TTTCCAGTCAGGGAGATCGCTGTCCTTGACCCCCAACTGTTGATAATAAGATGACTGGCTCTTTATGCAATAAATAGAGTGACATTGCACTCATTGCAAGAAGAATGCCTCAACCAGTTACTAAAGCTAATAAGTTGTATTCGGATGCACTCCAGCACATAATAGACAGTATCTTCTTTTCATTTGTAAGTTCCCTGAAATGGAGAAAATACCACTGTAATTTATTGAAATGAAATTGTTCTTCTTGTAAGGCTGTGACCATGATTTCCTTGCATACATTTTTAGTGCAGTGCATTGTCTGCCATGTTTTAAGATTGCCTTTTCAACTGTTTACTGAATAAAACTGTCATCTATTGTAAGATAATTGAAGTTTAGGTTGCAAAATGTGTCATTTGCTATGGCTGCGCAGTTTTAAATAAAAGGCTGGACTTAATTCTCCTTCACTGTTGAATTTGAAGTTGGTAGTGCTTCTTAAATCCAGTGGGTCTCTTGCCCATGTCAGACTTATGCCAGGGCAGGGATAACGTTGAGTGGTGAAACTACTTGGGAGCCAAGTGAGGCTGTTAATTGGTTAAATAATACCCATTTAAGAATCTCGTCACACCATCATTAGGAATTAACTGACCACAGAAGAGGCCTACGCTATATGTTCAGCAGCTGGCGCAACACATATTCAAATCCTTATCATGACCTCAACCTTCCCATAGCTAATCATTTTAGCACAGCATCCTGTTGACATGCCCACTTGTCTGTCCTTGGCATGCTGCAATGCTCCAGCAAATCACAGTGAAAACTGGAGGAGCAACATCTCATCTTCAGACTAGGCACTTTACAACCTTCTGGACTTAATATTGAGCTCAACACCTTCAAACTGTGAACCCGCTCCTTCCCTTTCTTTTAGCTTTGCTTGTTACATTCTCTGTCACCATGCCATTTCTCCCCTCCCCCGCAGTGCAATGGGACAGTCTGCTCTTTGCAGTCTGGCAGTTAGACACATCATTATTCTGCCATTCTCACATTCCAATCACTTAATCTGTGCTATCAACTTCCTTTCTCCCCAAGGACTCCAACCCTCCACCCCCCCAAACTATTGCATAAATGCTGCTCCTGCACACTTCACTTCAGCTCTGATGAAGAGTCATCTAGACTCGAGACATTAGCTTGCTTGCTCTCCATGAATGCTGCCTGTCCCGCTGTGATCTCTAGCGTTTGTTTGTTTTCAGTACATATTCCAGCATCTGCAGTAATTTCCTCCTACTTTATCTAATGCTGCATTACCTCTGTCCAGAGCTGCTGATCTCTGACTGGCCAGAGTTTATCTCAGGCTAGAATTCTTTATCCAGAGTAAAGAAATCATTCCTCCAGCCTATTTTCACCTAATTGGTAGTCAAAGTGTGTCAGTGCATCCTTCCTTAGATATGGGGCTCAAAACTGCTCGCAGTGTTCTGAATGTGGTCTGACCAGAGCCTTATATAGCCTCCGCAGTATTTAGAGTCGTCAGGTCATAGACTCATACAGCATGGAAACAGCTCTTTGGTCCAACTCGTCCGCACCATCCAGACATCCCAATCTGACCTAGTCCCGTTTGCCAGCATTTGGCCCATACCTGCTTTGTATTTTAGCCCTTTTGAAATGAATGTTAACATTGCGTTTGCCTTTCTAACTGCCACCTTAACCTGCATGTTAAGCTTAAGAGACTCTTGTGTCACTTCGTACTTCAGATTTCGGAAGCCTTTCCCCATTTAGAAAGTAGCCTGCTTCTCTATTCTTCCTACCAAAGTACATAACCTCACATTTTCCAATATTGTATTCCATCTGGCACTTCTTTGCCCACTCTCCTAACCTGTCCAAGCGCTTCTGTAGCCTCCCCACTTCCTCAACTACCTGTCCCTCCATCTATCTTTGTGTCTTCTGCAAATTTAGCAACAGTATCCTCAGTTCCTTCATCCAGATCGTTAATGTATAATGTGAATAGTTGTGGCCCCAAACTGACCCCTGCGGAACTCCACTAGTCCCTGGCTACCATCCTGAAAAATAACTCTTTATCCCCACTCTGTGCCTTCTGCCAGTCAGCCAGTCCTCTGTCCCTGCCAATTCTTTGCCCCAACTCCATGGGCTGTTATTTTATTTAGTAGCCTTCTGTGCAGCACCTTGTCAAAGACCTTCTGAAAATCCAAATAGGTCACATCCACTGGCTCTCCTTTGTCTAGCTTTTTTATTACATCCTCAGAATTGTAACAGACTGTCAGGTGTGACCTGCCCTTGATGAAACTGTGCTGACTCAGCCCTGTTTTACCATGCAGTCTCAAGTACTCTGCAATCTTATCTTTAATTGACTCTAAAATCTTATCAGCTACTGATGTTAGGTAACAAGGTGTAGAGCTGGATGAACACAGCAGGTCAAGCAGCATCATAGGAGCAGGAAGGCTGACGTTTTGGGCCTAGACCCTTCATCAGAAAAAAT